ATACTTTGAGAAATTATATATATATATATATATATATATATATAATTTATTTTTTTTAATTCTAAAATGCAAAAGTTTAACTTTAGGATTACTAATTCACTTTAGGCTATATGAAAACAATAGATGTCTATAGCATGTCCTCATTTAAACGTGTATATATCAGAGTTATTATCATTAACTAAAACCATTATAAAATATTCATTAATTGAAATAAAATAAAAGTGACAAAAAACATACAGCAAAATGATTTTATGAAAATGAAAACAGAAATAAAAATGAAATCTAATTTAAAATATTAAGAAAAACTATAATAGTATATTATATATATATATATATATATCAACGATACTAAAACATCACTGGAATGTGCTTGATAGCTCAGAAATTGATGTGAAAAAGTCTTGTGTCTGGATTCATCAGTATGTAATGGGCTCTGAGCTCTGAGCTCCTTGCACGTCTCCATGAATCGGTCCCTCAGGGTCACCAACAGACCCAATCATTTTAAAATCCACATGACTGCTACATCACACACTGTCCTACTGAGTGTTTGCAGTCACAGAAGACTGGAGGCTAGGAAGTCACTGTTGTCATGAAGATGCTCTTAAAGCACAACAAGTTCAAATGAAAATGAGATTGTCTCTTTTCCATTTGAAAATTTTATTTTAATGTGCATGTCTGAGTCTGTATGTGTGAGAGAGTATTAATTTCATCATCACAAAGAGGAAATGTGTGCATTGCTTATCGGACAAGCACAACCACATGTGACATGTGAACATGTGACGTCAATAAATCTGTTACAAAGCAACCGCTAAAAGAACCAACAGTGTAAAATGCTTGCAGCACCTCATATGAGACTCATGTGTTCATTTCTAGTTGGTTAATACCATCAAAACATTTTGGCTTTGTCAGGCGGACAGCAAACACCATATTTTTACTGTATCTGACTGCAACACAAGCACACAAAAATTCCACAAGAAAATTTTTACAGACCAGATTCAAAGCTCATCTGTATTTGTTTAGAAATCAGATTTTTTTTTGTACATTATCATTACCTGAATGTTCATTCATTTGAGCTCACTCTTTCATTATATAAGAAATGAAATTACATTCATTATATAGTGAATAGTAAATGAATGAACATCACCAAAATGTGTGAAAATGACATGAAATGTGACATGAAACCCCATTCCTGCAAATCATGCTTTGGTAAATCATAATAATAATAATAATAATACAATTATGATGTCAAAATCATCACAACTATTGACTTTGTAACTATGTGGCTTTTTATGTCACAATTTAGAGTTGTCAATTATGATTTATTAAAGCATGATTTTTTTCTTATGTGGCAGAAATTAGATTCCATAGATGTCATGATAGTGAAACTTTTCATCCTTTCTTTCCAGTGACAGCTAATCCCAGTTGTTGTGTTGAGTGCAATGTGTTCATTTGCAAAATAACTGTGTGGACATTCAGACCAGTTCAGTCCACAAAGATTTGTGCCTAGCATTAACAAAGCTGACATACCCCTAGGACATGAAACTGATTTCAGTGTCTTTGAGCTAAACTGTTAGTATAAAAGTAGTATTTTAATATTTAATAAAATTTTTGTTAATATTTTATATATATACATACAGTATCTCACAGAAGTGAGTACACCCCTCACATTTTTGTAAATATTTTATTATATATTTTCATGTGACAACGCTGAAGAAATTACACTTTGCTAAAATGTAAAGTAGTGAGTGTACAGCTTGTATAACACTGTAAATTTGCTGTCCCCTCAAAATAACTCAACACACAGCCATTAATGTCTAAACCGCTGGCCACAAAAGTGAGTACACCCCTAAGTGAAAATGTCCAAATTGGGCCCAAAGTGTCAATATTTTGTGCC